CTGCAGGCGCCTCTCCCTGAGATGGCGGGTGTGCGCTTTTAGCGTAATCTCACTGAGGAGCCGTTCCAGCTGTCGAACTTTTCTCGGTTTCCCTTGTGTTTTAATTGATGAAAGCTTAAACCTTGAGATAAACCGGTCGAGGAGAGAAAACGCGAGCGGCCAGGGAGTGAGGAACGGATGGCTTCGTGCCTAACGGGGGGCAGAGGGAAAGGAAACTACTGACCTGATAAACCTGAAGCTGCTACATCCGGGAAATCCGAAAGTGGCATAACTGGAAGAGCACAGCTGCCAACCTTGCGTAAAAAGAACAGTATCTAATATATGCGTGTGATCTTTTATTTTTGAACCAGTTGCTGAAAGACTTGGAAGAGGTTAAAGAGTTGCTTACGAAAGCCACGAGGAAGCGACTTTGTGATGTCCTGATGACAGAGAAACACAAACTAGAGCTAGAAATCAAGAATCAGCCTCCCCCAAAGCCAAAAGATGTGGCAGAGGAAGAAAAGTCTTCACTGGGAGGGTACACGGTGAAAATAAACAATTATGGTAGGATTTCTTTTCTGAACATGTACTAGAGCTCCAGCATCTCTCTGAAGAGAAGTCAGAGTGGCATTAGTGTGAGTTACAGTTGCCCCTTAGCATTATAGAGAAGCCTGCTGAAGTCTTTATTTCATACTGGAGACCCTGCTTTAAAAGCTGCTGCGTGCTTCCTTGTGCTGTCCCAACCACAGTGTGTAGTAATTCTGTTTGTGTGATAGTACTGGTGGGATGCATTAATGATCCCTGGTGTACCACCTAGTATTTTTTCCATTGGCTAGTAGGAATGAAAGAGTGAGCTTTGGCTTCTTTGCTCACCATGTCAGTGAAAGGAGAGGGAATTGCTCAAGATACTTGTTATGTAGGGAGCAGGGAAAAAAAAGTGGGTCAAGGAAACTGCAGCATAAGCAGCTATCTCTGACGACTCCTGCACAGACAGAGTTGCTCTCCTTTTACCTGAGCTTATAATGTGTTTTTTCTCAGAATTTGCGGGACCTAGGGAGCAGGACAACATGTGAAAACCTTCTCTTGCTCTCAAATTATTCCTGAATAATTCACATCTTTTCCTTATCTCTCTGAAGGTTGTTTCAATAAGGCAGAGATTGTACTCATCGCTAGGGGACTTTGCATGGGGAGTTGGAATGCAATGCGTGAAGCTTATGGAGAAAGCTAGAACTTAATCTGTTTTTTTTCACTTGCAGGTTGGGATCAGTCAGATAAGTTTATTAAAATTTACATCTCTTTAAATGGAGTCCAGAAGCTTCCAGCTGAGAATGTGCAGGTGAATTTCACAGAGAGGTGAGTTCATCTTGTTGCACTGCACCACAAGGGAGAGCATGGATGAAGAACACGATTTGAAATGCAGGAGCCTGTTCTGGATCAGCCCTTACCCCCCACTCCCTTTTTTCCTTGTTTATTTATTTATTTTTGTTTTTTTTAACTTGAGCAGTACTAGCTTTTAGTAGCACTTAGCACATACCCTTAAGTATAGCTCTCCTTAGAGGGAAACAGGGTATTTTCATTATACAAGTGCTTGTTGCACCTCATCATGCTTGACAGGACACACAGTGTTAGCCGTGGTTTTTGATGGTGATAGAACTGCAGTGTACAGTAAGTAAATCTGCCTTTCCCAGGTTGTAGGAGATCAGCAGGGTAGAAAGAACCATAAAGATCGTGACTTGTTGTGAAGTCTGGGCAGGTCCTTTTAAGTCCTCAGTATTAAATCCCACTGAAGATTTGAAAGCCCTGGGAAGAGAGTAATTCAAGGCTGTTGACATGCTTTCCAAAGAAATATGTATGCTAAAGGGCTTTCAGCTATTGTTTTTGGTGGCAAGGCACAATAGTCTTAGAATGATTGGAGTATTTGTGTCCTTCTTCCCCCACTTTCTGGTTCTAGGTCATTTGATCTGCTTGTGAAGAATCTGAATGGGAAGAACTACACTATGACCTTCAACAACCTCCTGAAGCCCATCTCTGTGGAAGGGAGCTCTAGAAAGGTCAGTGTACCTCGGCTGTTAGAGATATTTAGGTACCTCTCAAAGTACTGTGTTCATTGTCTGACTCCAGTTCAAGAGACTCTGTGCCAACCTTCAGTCCCTCCCTTCTGTCTGTAAAGTCTCTTCACTGTGAACGTGATTCTTAATAATCCGTAATCGTCATAACTGTGGAATTGTTCTCTGGAATCCAAGGATTCATATTTCAAAAGATCATGTCTGGATATTATATGCTTTTTTAAAATAAGCTCTCTAACCGGATTTCAGAAATAATTAAGCAGAAAATTCCAGTAAGCATCCATTTGCATCCTTGTGCTTTTAAATACCTCTGAGAAGTTCTTTGCAATTTTAAGGTCTAAGAGACTTGTCAGCAGACCGAGATTTTGAGAAGGTTAAATAGGCTTAATACCCAAAGCAAAGTCTGAAACATGCTCTGCCTTTGTAAGGGTGTGTTGCTGCAGAATTTAACACTAGTACCACTGTACTGCTGATGGCTGTGACTGGTGATAGTGTCCTTGCTGTGCTACTTGTAGCACCTTTGCGGGCTTAGAGATGTGTCAGGGATACCTTTTGTGCGTTCTGTGCAGTCGTGTCCTGCACTTAGTGACATCAGATGTGAAGAAATGATGGTTCAGTTTGAAATTGCCCTAAAACTAGGACAGTGTAAAACTAAAACAACTGAAATAAATGAGTGTGATGCTTTAGTGATTTTTAACATGGCATGAAAGTGAGCAGTGGTAACGTACTTGGTAAGCTAAGCTAAAGCTCCAGCAGACTCGTCTGCTGTAGCACACAAGAGTTCTTTGTGAAATTTAGGTCAGGGTTGCAATTACACTGGCTTTGCTTGTAGCTTGCAAACATACTGCAAGATTAAGCAATGCCCTAAAACTGCTTTCTTATCCTTGGAGAAATAAATTGGGAGAGCCTCTACCTGAACTTGGTATTCTTGGAGAAGTCTAGTACATACAGCGACCGTTTACCAGAAAGTCCTGGGTACTTTTAGCATCCCGAGAATCACCGAACGGCATTTCTGCAGCGGTGTATGTTCTTCCGTATTGGTACCGTAGTACTGTACTAGTATTATATTAATCACACCATTTAAATGGTCCACAACAAGATTAATACATTGTACCCCAAAGCTGAATACATACTATAAGTTCTATATGCTACAGAATAACCAACAGCTGAGATAAATGTTTCAGGAATTTGTGCATATAGAAAGAGGTTTATGTTACGAGCTAACCCTATTCGTTGTGGTTGTGACTAGTATCCTTTTATGAAGCATTCTAAATTCATGCCTTGCTGTTCACCATACAGATAAAGACAGACATGGTCCTTGTGATGTGTAGGAAGAAGCGGGAGGAAAAATGGGAATGTCTCACTCAAGTGGAAAAAGAAAGCAAAGAGAAAGAGTAAGTGTCTCTTCAATCCTCCATCTTGTTTTCCATTTCTTGTTCTGCACGTTGCCTTAGGACTGCCAGGAGAGCAGGTCTGTACTGTACTGGCTCTGCAGGCAGACTGTGAGAATCGCTGTTCTGGGGGACAAGCCTCTAAGATGTTCGAGAATCATTAGGTTGGGATTCTTTTGGTACTAGTAGGAGTTGTAGCGGAGGAGATACACTTTGAGTAGCTGTTTGCCACTCTTCTACTGTTTCATTGCTAATGATGAAGGCTGCATCATAGGAAATACAATAGATAAGACCTGCAGTGAGAGTGCTAAAGGTAATCAATTAAAGATTCATTTATAATTTGATGGCTGCATTCACGGCAAAAACTGCTCTAGTGAGGTTGACTTTTTTTAGATTAAGTGTGTATTATATAGAAATACATGTATTTTCCCTGCAGCTGTTCTGGTCAAAAGAATTATTACTTTGTCACCTGTGTGTGAAGTGCCTGCACAAAGATCCCAGTGTCCTTTTGGCAAAACAGGTCTTTGTTTAGCTAGGTCATTATATGAAGTTGCAAGCTAATTTGTATCACTTCCAGTATGGAAGCAATTGGGAGCAATCCTACAAGCGGCTTAGGCACTGGATACATAAGGGTGGTAAATTACATCAGGACAAGAGACCTTCTATATATATATATATATAATTTAGTATATCATATAATGACTTTATATTATTTTACAATACACAAACATGTTCTTCTCCAGAAGTGAATGTATATGCCCACCTTGAAGCTTGGAAGAAATTTTGCCTGCCAACAGCTATTCATTGTCTGTGTTGATAGGATGATTTACTAAAAACTGATTAGTCCTCACTAACCATACCTCAATTTAGAATTAGAGCAAAAGTACTTTCTCCTCTCAGATGGCGAGGAGATTAAGAGAAGGCAACTTGACTGCTAATGCACGAAATGCACTTAGTGCTCAGGTCCGCGAGACTGGTGGTTAGCCCCGTGCTTGGGGAACTTGCTCCCTCTGCTGATGTGTTTTGATATGCATGTTTTTCAGGTAGCCGGCAGAAATTGGTAACTACCGAAGGGATTTTAGAAAACAGGACAGAGAGGGGCAGTTTTGCCCGAGAGGGCATTATGTATAGCCCTGGTAATGTGGGTCCTGTCATACCCAGGTGCTTACCATGTGGGTGGCACTGTTTGTCAGCTGGCTTCTTAAGTTGAGAAAATTGCTTTGAAATGCAAGGTGCTAAAAAACCAAGTTAGTTAACCTCTGGACATAATCTGAAAAAATGGGAAGCAGAAGATGCCTTTTGGGTTGTGAATGTGGTCACTTCAAAGAGATCAGTGTGGCCATTTTTCTATTTTTATTCACTTTTCACATAATGGCACAGACAGATGTTGTCACTTTCTGGGTCTGCCATATTCCACTTCCGCTTTCTAAAATTAATTTTAGGAAGCTTCCAAGGTCATGCTTACTGCAAAATGCTTCCCATCGTCCTTAGTGGGACAGCTCTAGGTATACTATTCATCTTGCACTTAAGCGTACTCTTTAGGATTCTCCCTACTTGGAAGCTGACTGCAGCGTGACTGAAGACTGCCAGGGTCTAAAGACTTTGCCAAAGCAAAATCCTCACTGTTACCAGAATGTTTCAAACAAATATTAGTGTTCAGTTTTTTGCATAGAATTGTTGGATATCCCTGATCTTCTTACATGTATCCATCTTGCAGGAAGGCTGCCTACGACACCTCAGATCCTAGTGAAGGGCTTATGAACCTTTTAAAAAAGATGTATGCAGAAGGGGATGATGAAATGAAGCGCACCATCAACAAGGCCTGGGTTGAAAGCAGAGAAAAGCAATCCAAAGGGGACATACCAATGGATATTTGAAAGTACTCTAAGGGCCGCCTTAACACTGATCTTCCATGTGAGACATGCTGTGCTGCAAAGATCATTGTTTACACAACCTTCTTCCAAGGAAAGACAGTCATTTTCCATTTCAGGTTGGAGAAAATATTTAAATAAAATAGCTTATAAAGCATTTCCTTCAGTCAAGTGGCTCACCATTTCCTGAAGAGTGGAGCATAGGTAGATCCTTACCCCTCCTTGAAAAAGCATCTCAGATGAGTGTTGCGAAACTGAGAACAGAATGTAAAAGAAAAGGAATCCTAAACTAGGATGGGTCAAGGCCTCTCTGTTGCGAGTGACAGCTGTATCCATCTATTTGCTGGGGCTAATGTCATGCTCGCTATGTGGGGTGTGGCTTTTTGCTTAGGCGTGGGCAAATATGTTGAACTGTAAAGCATGTCACAAAGGGAGAAATGCTGAAGCAAGCAGAAGCGCTATCTATCTCAAGCGCTCACTAGTTGAGCAGAAACAATATGGTGTTAATCCTGTGGTATTAAAATTTAATGATTACTCTTAGAAATTAAATACTGGCTGTTTAACCAGTTTAATTTTGAAAATGAAAGCAGCTCTTTAGCGCCTGTGCAGTGACCTCCTTGGAGTGTCTTTGAGGAGGCATCAACCGCAGGCAGGCTGCTGATGCTGGGCAGCCAGTCTGGCCTGGCTCTAGCAGCATATGAAGAAAAGAGAGACAAGCTCCACTTTCTCCTATCGACTTTCAAGGGTTTTAAGGTGACAGGAGTATATTGAGATAGCTTATACTCCAAACTTTGACTCGGCTGGGGGTGATGGGTTGCTGTCAGTTTGCTGCCAGTGTGCCTTCCACCTGGTGGCAGTAACACTTGGCCTGTTTATTGCAGCCTCTTGGCCCCACTGCTAGGGAAGGGGACAGAGTAGCCATTTCACCTCCATTGCCCTGCTTTGAAGAAGAGTACAGGGCAAACATGAGCTTAGCAGCAGGCTTGTTGCTATTGTCGTTTCCTTCCCGCTTCCTTCTCATGTCTCTGCCAAGGATGGATTAGTTTGATGTTACCTGATGAATTAAAGAAGCCATTACTGTCCTATTATGGTAGGACTTAGTTGCTACCTTGTTCTTAAAGCATCGGACCAAGCGCCGCACTACAGGCAGGAGATGAGATAAATACTAGCACATTGTCGTTTCTAATAGGTCCTTTATCCACTTTGTCTGCTTGCTAATATACATGTATTAAGTTTGCATAGCAAGAGTATCTAAACTTGAGGCCATGTTTTATTTTCAGTTCATGCTCTTCCTTGTTCATGGCAGAATACTACTTTGCCCTGTTGTACAATTCCATTTATGCTTTTACCCAACTTACCATGGTGAATTTACCGTATGGTGGCAAAAAAACTGCTTGAACGAGCCTTGTGCTGTTATGTCTTTATTTCTGACAAACTTCAGCTTAGTTCTGCAACAATTAGGTAGTGATTTTTGCTCCCGCCGCCTCAAAATAAAACTGCCTCTCATACAGACCAGCTTCTTGTCAGTTAACTGACACCAACTGCAATCAGTTAAGAGAGTTTAATGAATCAGCACAGCTTCTCATCCTTCCCTTATTTAGTTTGATATTGATGCTGGACTCTTAGACAGGATGGTTTTGCCTTAATGACTCCAACACACAAACTGAGCCCATTTTGTGTTCTCTGCCTGAATGTATATCCATGTGGTGATCTACCACATGGCCCTCTGTATCCCAGACATCTGAGCATGGTCAGCAAAATGGCGGAAAACGATTCTGCTGAGCCTCCAACGCCGCTTCACCCCCCGAGGGCGGGATGTCAGGACACACCTATTTCGGATCCTCACAGGGCAGCTGTCCCGGGGCAAGCTGGCAATCTCTTTATCAGCCACTTCCTAAAACGAAGACCACAGCATAGAGTTTATCTGTGTTCCCCAGGATTTTGAGGGGGCCTATTTGCCAGACCTCAAAAATCTAGCTGTAGAGTAGGTACCACCACAAGCTTCTCTACCACCTCATGAGTATGCTTTGCTATTTGGTAGGGAACTGGCACCTGTCCTCGCCTGACCCTTTCTTTCTGGACATCCCAACAGTGAATGCAAAATGATCCACATGGAGACCCTAGAGTTAACCTTATTACACAGACTGAACAACCTCATGCCAGTAATTATCGTTCGTCAAAAATCTGCTTGGCTTTATCCACGTAGCAGGGTAGGCTATTCATTTAAGATAAGCTGAACTTAAGTGGCTGTTCCCTGTTAACCACCTTCCCAGGTAATATGCTTTAATGTCAGTAAAAGGAATCTCATACAGTATACTTCAGAAGGAGCTCCAGGCAGAGGAGGAAAAGTCAAAGTGTCTCTGTTCTAATGAGAAGGCTTAAGAAAGGTCTTTCCACATGCAATAAGAGTGCTCAACAGTTTTCAGGGAGCAGCAAATGGAATTTCAGATGAACAAGCGAGCTCAGCAGGCAAATGCAGCCGGAAGGAAGTCAAAGCCAGGTAAGCATCCCTAACTGCAGCATTCCTAATATATTATTTTCTAAAGGAGAGAAGGGCTCCAAAGAATCCTCTGTTCAGTCATGGTAGGAGGCCACAGTTGGAGCTAAAAAGGCGGCTGGGCTACAAAAACTCCCATTATGGTGCAGGAGTGCTGAAAAGCAATAGTGTAAGGCTATCTTCTAGAGGGATGTTCGCCTTCAAGGGAAGATGGCATCGAGACAGCAGCAACGTGACCTTCAACTTCAGTAACAGCAAGGTCAGTAGGACTTCTTGTCTTCAGAACATATTTCAGTTACTGGTTTTGTTCAGTTGTGCCTCTTGTTTGTGTAGATAGCCCAAATAACATTTTGTAGGGCAGCAAAAAGTTACCTTTCTGGAGTCTTTTTCTTTAATCTAACTGCTGCTGTGACTTTGTGACTTCCAAAGGTGACAAAAGCAGCTGAGGAATACCAAAAGCAAAGCCAGCTGCCATTAATTTCCCCACCCTGTAAGGACATTCAACACAGAGAAGACTTGCCAAGAGAATGATGAAGTCCATACATAAAACCAGATTCACCAGATACACTTTCTCTCCCAGAATGTTTAACGATGAAAGGATGTCCCCACAACTAGGCATGGCCAGATCAAATATGTACAGGAATAGTTTAAGACTATTTCTGATGCTTGCAAATGTTTTTAATGCTTAGTAAGGAAGGTTGAGAGCAGGGCAACAAAATATGTGCATTTTTAAGAACAGATCTAACACCCAGATCTGATGCAGCTTTTACATGCTTGTAGCTCAGGCAAGGAGTAAAATTAAGTATTTCTAATTGAACAAGTTGGTGGATTTGGCTGGATCAGGCTTCTATGTTTTTAAATAAGCAAAAAAATCTGAAGCTTATTTAGGAAACTATAAAAGTAACCACATATCCCACATTATCAGAAATAAGGAAAATAACTTTCTGAATGTATGTTAGTGACTGAGGGGAAAAAAATGAGACTTCATCCCAGATAATGTCACACATACTGCTTACATGAAAAGCACTGTTTTTAAAATAAAACAAAAACCCACAATCCAACACACACAGCCTCCAGCCAAAAGGCTGAGGCTCTGAAGATGCCTAGGCACTAGCAGTAACTATGCAATATGACATGACTCTGTGCTCCTGACTTAGAGAAACGCAAGTGTTTGTGACCTGGCAGGGCCACTCGGGTCTGTAAAGCGTGTGCTGCGGCCCAGTGCACATCACAGCAGTAGGAACCATGTGCGGGCTCGTGCCCTGCCCTGGCCGGGGCATGGCTGCCCCGTACCTGCAGCTCCTTGGGAAGGATGGTGTTTTTCCGGATGGCGTTGATCCGCAGCCTCTCGTCCGCGTACTCGTATGCCAGTTTCCTTCTCTTGACGTCCCGCAGCATCCTCCAGTCCACATAGTAGCTCCGCACTTGCCTTGTGCATGGTGAGGGGAGAACCTAATAACAAAAATTAAGTTTATAGTACTCATGTACAGTTTGCCCAATTCAATATGAATTATTACCATAAACGTCTCCTCGTCACGCTTTTTCAAATTACTTTCTTTCAGGGCAGCTCCTGCCCAAGAAATGTAGGGTGTGATCCAGTTCAGTTCACAAAAGCCAGCAAGGACTTGACGCGGGCGACACAAATAACCCCGAGGTTACATACACCCATCCCCCCGGGGGGGTGC